AGGCCAGTGACTTTTCCTGGAAGACAGACTCAAGTCCTGAGCTGGTGTCCTGCTTGCCAGCCCTCCATCCTTCCATCCTCTTCTGCCTCCTCCTCTGTACCTCATGTGCACAGAAGACAGAAACTTCCTCTCTTTCTCTCTCTCTCTCTGAGGTTTGATACAGACACAAATTGCTGCTGGATCAGAGCAAAAGGAAAATACAAACTTGTGTGAAATTTTTCACCTTTTCACTAAATGAATCAAAGCCAAATTTTCACACTTTGGTCTTAGGTGTGAAATTTTTGCTCAGCTCTAATATTTATCCATAGTGTGTTTTAAAACTTGGCTCACTCCATCCAGAAACCCACAGAGAATTGAGTTACAGATTCTGGGCTTTGTGCATGCTGCCAAGATCTGCCCCTATAACTCAAACAAATTTAAGGTGGTGGGGGGGGAACACTAGAAAAATATTTTGTATGGTCCATCACATGCTTCCTTCATGCAGTCATATACCACCAAAAAGTAATATTCTGCTAGGCCTGTGTTACAGAAATACACTCATGTAACTCCTGTAAACACAGATAAGATGAATTTTGCATCTCCAAGCTGAGAAATAAGCAATCCCTAAATGAAGGCCTGGAAGGAAATAGCAGGCTTACTTAAAATTCTTATAAAAGTTTAAAAGTAATTCTTCAACATCAGCATTTCAAGAAATCTATTTATGCCCCTCAAATCCAAATATATCTGTCACTGGACTTCTTAAAATGATGCTAAAGACATCTGTTTGCTGAGTTTGTGTGTATGGAATAGAGATGAGTGGGAGAGAGGTTCATCACTGCTGCAGAACAATTAAAATTATTACATAAAACATAATTTGTTTTATTTGTTGTGAGGACTAGAAGTGTAAGGAAAGTCACTCTGATAGTTTGAAGGTTAACACCTGCTGAATCCTGAATCGGGACAGATCTGGTAGGAAGAATGTTCCTACATTTCAGCCTGTTGTGAATGGGGCAACTTTTACATTATTTCCTTCTTGCTGCTGGATCTGTGACAGGAAAACTGAACAGAAACATTGGAGAGGCAAGATTGGCCTGAGTGAGAGCATCTGATCCCCCCAGTTTGGTGCTTTGCTGCTCCATGTGCAGCCACGTGCTTTCAGCCACTGAAATGGTACAGGAGAACTTGAAATGATCTGTGCTTGTTTCGTTTGTTATTTTCTTAATAACTACCTTAGGTGAAAGTCCAAGCATTTCTTGGGATTACCAAAATGACTGAGTGGTGAGAACACAGCTGGGAAGTTGTATTTGTGCTCGGATGCTTTATCCATTTAACTTTGGATACAATTTTTAAGGTCTCAAAATAAAGAAAAAGCCTAATTGGGATTTTCTTACTTGACTTTCTAAACTAATGCTGATATCCCTAAATCTGATTTCTCATTTGTGTACTTTAAGGGCTCACATCCCATTAATTTTCAGTAATACTCAACCTCATCAGTCCTTGAGTCACTGCTGAAAATCCAGTCTGGGGACTATTCTAGGTTGGGCTTGATGATCTCCCAGGTCTCTTCCAGCCTAGCTCATTCTGTGATTCTGTGATTCTATCCACAGGTGGGCTTCACTGGCCTCCCTGTGCAGTCCCAAGAGATGTGGGCTCCTCCTGTGGGATGTGCTGGGGTTTGTGAGGCAGCTCTTGGAGGATCCCAAGGGCAGGGAATCAGGGAAGATGGGTCTTCCAGCCTGAAGCTATTCCTTGTGTGCACCTCCTGTAGCTCCTGTGCCAGGCTGATGGGCTTCTCCAGGTGCCTTCACCCACCCAGGGTTAAAAAGCTTTTCCTTCCCATAATTGAACGGACAACAGTTGAAATTTCCACCTTTTAGCTGCTGTGTCAAAGTTAGGCTTCCCTAGGAGATAGGATTTTCCCTGGGTTCCAGTAAGGCTTCCCTTGGGGATCCACTGCCTGTTGAGGCTGCCCTGGACAAGTGTTGGATCCCCTGCCCCAGATGATGCTGGAGTCTGGAATTCAGCCACCAGGACCAAGTGGATTTGAGTGGCTGCTGATCTTCCCAGCAGCAAAATGGGACCTTGTCCTGAGATCTTGGTGGGCTTTGGGGAGTTTGGTTCTGTGTCCCTCCCCAGGCAGGGATAACCCTGCTGGGCTGGGTCTCTCCATGGAGAGCAGAGTGTTTACTGGCTTGTATCTGTCTCAGCGTTGACACTCCAACAAAAGGTTAGAAATCATGAATGCATCCCTTTATTTCTGCTCCACAGTGCCTCTCTTTTTTTCCTGTGTAAACCCTTCACTTGCCTCTTGCCCAGCCTTTAGAAACGATGATCAAATGCGAACTTTCAGGGTTTATTTATAGCGTAGCCTTTATGGAAAGAGAGAAAAGAAATGATTAAAAAGCAATTTTACAAAATATTTTGTTTTAAGAGAGAATTCATTGTGTTTTAAATCACTGTATTCATTGTACTGTCTAGACTGGCAAACAAAGAAGATAGAGCGTCATTCAAATTAAGATTGTGAAATCCTTGGTGACTGGAATTATGGATTTGGATGTCAACCCTCAAACAAACTATTTCTGAACGGCAGTATTATCACTTTGCTATATTTAAGGCTTTGTTGGAGACAGAGCAGTGCACAAGGTTGATCCGATTCAGTAATGCAATTCTAATGTTCCTTTGTTTCCCATTTCATTATAAATTCATATTTTCAATGTTCTGTTCCTCTTTGTCCCCAGAAAATTGTTGAAAAGACTCTCCTCTGGGAGTAAAGTTTTTTTGTTCAAGCTAACAATGACCAAACTGACTTTAAAACACAGAAAAACACACAACTAAAATGTGAATTGAGAGAGGGAATTAATTTAGGATATTTTGAGCAACATAGAATGGGTGAGTTGTTGAAAATTGCTGGCTGTGTATTTTTTTGCCATGTTATTCCACAGAACCATGGTGGTTGCTGTGAGACTTTAATGCTGTACATTCTCAAAGGTCTGTGTTTCTCCAGTAGATTTAAAACCACTGAAGTATATTAGCTGATAAACTGAAAAACTGATAAACTTGGGAATTACCCTCATTAGCAGAGGGTGGATGATGGGGACCCACAGAAAAGAAGCAGCAGCTTCTGGAAGCTCTAAGAGTCAAGCAGAACACGAGTGCATGGTGCACCCATGTCAGAGGCAGAATGTACCCTGGGAATGGTGCTGTGTCCTGCTCCTGAGTGTGCACAGAGAGGGGAATTCAAAGTCTGGCCCTCCCTTTCATTCTTCTTGTACCTGTGATAAAAAATAGATTTTCCTGTTTAGACATTTTAGATGTTGTGAGTTTATTTTTGTGCAGTGTCTCCAGGGCAGTTCAAAAGGAGGCGTAAAGCAGGGAGCAGAAAGGAAGGTGACTCTTCCATTAGTGAGAGAGTGTTTCAGGGGGCTGTTTTCCCTAAGGCACAATGGAAAAGCAGTAGCCATTGTACCAGTGGGAATTGGCTTTTACTTTGAGGGTTTTTTTTCTGAGTATTCATTCATTTTTTGGATAGTCTGTAAATCCAGCTGGCCGTGTAAGGGAGTTGTAAGAGACTGACTATTGTAAACAGGGACAATGCTTGAGCATTGTCAGTGTCACCTGCTAAAGGACAGGGAATAAAATGCCTATTTCTCTTACTGGGAAGGATATCAGCCTTTCCATGGCAGTATTTTAATCTGGCTGCTGTGCAGAGTCTCAGTGCCAGCAGGCTCACATGTCCCAGGGAAAAGAACACACTATCTCTCTGCAAGTGTTATTTCAAGGGTGTTTCTTGGAGAATCGAAGTACAATCAGCCTCTGCACATATGAGAGAGAATGGGCATATGAGAGCACAGAAATATTCCCTGCTGGTGTACCAGCACCCTTAGCAGAGTTGAGTCCTGACTGCACACCTGGCAATGCTTTTGCCTTAGCAGAGCCTACCCTGGGCTGGTGACACTGCGCTGACATTGCTCATCCACGTTGTGATCTGTGAGATCCTCTGCTCTCAAGTGCTGGATTAGTGGAAAGCACAGATTTCACTAGAGCAGGTATTCCAGCCCGTAAAATCATTCATGCCTTTTAAAAATCCAGCTGTAGCAGAGAGCTGGAAGGTTCCAGCAGCAGCACAGGCTGCCTGTTCTCCAGGGTTATCCTCATTCTTAGGCACTGCATTAAAACAGGTTCAGGGTCCTGCTTAAGAATTCTGAACCCTGAGTTAGTCACATACTGATTCTTGAGTCCCAACCTTTAATGTTTTTAACATTCTCCCATCTAAAAGCTGTTGCTTTGATTCTCCTTGTGAAATCCCGGAGTTTCTGCTGCCTCTGCTGTATCCTGAGAGCTCAGGCCTCTTAACTTTGGTGATTCTCATTCCAGTGGGATTGCTTGGGAGAATCCATGGAAAATCAGAATCTCACAGAGATCAGGAAAGGAACCAAATTACTCATCCCTCTCCCTTCCACACGTGACTGTCCCAGAGACTCCTTCTGCAGGGGATTCTGCGAGCTCTGACTTTATTTTGGCCAAAAGCAGAGCAGGATCAGAGTTTGCCTCTTACACCTTTGTGCTGGAATGTGAGGGCAGCTGTGAGCTGCAGAACAGACCTTCCCAGGTTACCTTTAGCTTGTGGAGCACCCTTGAGTCCTCCTTTGCTGCAGGGAGCTGATACTTTCAGAAAATGATTACAAGATCTTAAGTACAGTATCATTTTATTTGAGAACCCTCCCCTCTGGGGACGCAGTGTTTAACATTTCCTTTGGTTAGAGTAAATAATAAAAGATAAGTCTGTTCTGTCTGGGACTCCCAGTGAGAGAGAGGAGCAGATTTTGGTTACTGAGGGTCTGCAGAGCTTTGTTCTCTTGACTACTTTATAATGGGATTGAACATATTTGCTGCCATCTGGCCTGTTCAGCCGAAACAAAATACATCACTAATGTTCCGATTGGTTTTGAAACATCTTGTTCTTGTCAAAAAGTATTTTAAATCAAAACAGGCTTTTCCAGTTGGTGTTTGTCTTTTCCTAGGAGGCCATGGCGAAAATGGGGAAAATTGGGAGAGTCGTGCAGCCCAACCATGAGCATAAAAGGTAACGCTGGCCCTGGTGTGTTCCACTGGGCAAGTTCAAGGGAGATAAAGTTGGGGTCTGGAGATGAGGTTGGGGTGTGTTTCTTTATAGCCCTGCTCGACTGCAGCAGTGTTTAGCATATAGATACTTTAAGAATCACAGTATATTAAATTTTTAAGAATTCTTCATACTGTCTTTCTAAGGATTATTTCTCTTAATTTTCAAAGCTTGATTATTTATATTATATTTTAAAGATTATTAATATTACATTTTAAAGGATTATTTCCATTCATTTTTTAAAGATTATGTTTTATTACATTATATTTTAAGGGTAATTTGCGTTACGTTTTTAAGGACTCCGGATTCCATGGGCGGCGGCGCGCGGGCTCCCCCTGGCGGCGGCGGGGGCGGGTCCGCGCTGAGGGGACAGGAGGGGAAAAGAGGGGACAGGAGGGGACAGGAGGGGACAGGAGGGGATAAGAGGGGATAGGGGGGACAGGAGGGGATGGGGGGACAGGAGGGGATAGAAGGGGACGGGGGGACTCGGGGCTCTGTGTCCAGTTCTGGGCCCCGCAGCACAGGACAGGCATTGAGGGCCTGCAGCGTGTCCAGGAGAAGGCTCTGGAGCCCCAGGAGAGGCTGAGGGAGCTGGGAAGGGTCTGGAGCCCCAAGAGAGGCTGAGGGAGCTGGGAAGGGTCTGGAGCCCCAGGAGGGGCTGAGGGAGCTGGGAAAGGGGCTCAGCCTGGAGCAAAGGAGGCTCAGGGGGGACCTTCTGGCTCTGCACAACTCCCTGACAGGAGGGGACAGCCGGGGGGTCGGGCTCTGCTCCCAGGGAACAGGGACAGGAGGAGAAGGAACAGCCCCAAGTTACACCAGAGGAGATGTAGATTGATATTTGGGAAAATTTCTCCATGGAAAGGGTTTTCCAGCCCTGGCAGAGTTGCTTAGGGCAGTGGTGGAGTCCCCATCCTTGTAGGGATTTAAAAGTCCTGTGGATGTGGCACTTGGGGACATGGGGCAGTGGCAGCCTTGACAGTGCTGAGAGAACAGTTGGACTCAGCGATTTTGGAGTATTTTTCCCACCTGAATGAATTTAGTGGAGCTCCGGTGTCTCCTCACTCTCATGACAGAGAACTCTGGGGAAAACTGTCTGAGAACCTGAGCTGGCTGCAGGGAAATGAAAGGTGGAATTGCAGCTGGAAATCACAGTTTGGGTGGAAACTGGCCCAGCTCTGACCCCAGTAGCAGCTGTACCTAGGAAAGAGTCAAAGTGTCTTTAATGCTAAGAGAAGCAAGTAAACATATACATTGCAGGGGATTTAAATCCTCAAATCTCAGGCTTTGCTGATATTAACTTTCTTACACAGATTTTATGACAAGAAATACGAAGTATTTTTGAAGCTTGTGGAGCACCAGAGAGAGTATCGCTCCATCATGAACAGCTTGTGATCCAGAGGGAGGGAATCTGGGAACAGCAGGGATAACAAATTTCCAGGCATGTGTGATGCGGGTAATTTCTTCTTACTGTACTGTCCATGTTAAAAATATACAAAATACACTTTTATCATTGAAAGTATACATTTTAATTTTTAATGAGAAATAAAATGCAGTCACTTTACTGTGAAGCAGTGGATATTTTCTGTCAATAATCCCTGCACACCGGGACAAGGAATATTCATTTGTTCCAGTCAGAGAACACAAGACAACCAGTTGCAGGTACCCCAGTGCCAATATTTGGACTGACAGGAACAGCACAAGGAATAACATGATTCACTCAGATGGAAGAGTCCATGGAGTCAGTGTTCACATACATTGACTTTACACACTTGAGAGAAATTCCTTCTTTAGTATTGGCCTAGGCTGCAATTCCCAGTTAAATGCAAATAGGAGTCACACAATAACAAAATTACATTTGGGTTATTTGGAAAAGAATAGTTTCTTTTCTTTTTTTTTTTAATGTTAGCAGTCAGCCCTGAAAAACATCTGGTAATTTTTTTAAAGAAACAATGCACTTCCTGCCTTGTAGTCCATGGAAAAGCAATTGTTGCCATTTCCAAAGTACCCATTGTTAGGAGAAACAGCTTTACAAGTTCAGGGACATAATTAAAGACAATGAAAGTTGATGGGAATAAAATGAAGAAACATCATAACAAAAGAGTAAAACAAGCAAGAAAAGGACTCTGACATAGTGGGATGTCAGAGCTCCCAACTCAGGGGCATGATAAAATCTGTCAGCTGAAAAGACAGAGTGGGAAAAAGTAATTGGAGATCAGTGTGTTGTAACCAATAAGTATTCATACATTTTAGTATCTCTATTTTAATATGCAATTAGTGTGTAAAAATGAAGTCTACAGACTCCAAATGGATAGCAAAGGTACAGGTTATACAGGGACAGATGTGCAGGGCTGCCTGGCACTGCACCAGCACTTTCACCTCTTTGCAGCTCAACACAAACAACTTCAGCAAAGTTTCCATAAACTTCCTGCTATTTATATCATTATCCTCAAACTGGCCTCTATTTCTCTGGCTGAACTGGTACCAAGAGTTAGCACGAGGGGTGTAGGGAGTCTGGAAAGGGAGCAAACAATCACACTGACTTGGTGTAAAATGTAGATATGCAGGGTTCAAAGTCTCTCTGTGCCTTGCATGGGCTTGCTCGACACAGTTGCAGAGATTTGTTCACATTTCCTGCATGGCCTTTTAATGCCTTTCTCCCCTTATGATACTTGTATTTTATAGTTGCATTTTTGTTCCAAGCCAGTGTTGCTACTAGTTTCATATGATCCATTTTAAAACCAGAACTGTAAGAACTCTGTATCCCAGTGGTTGAGTAGTCAGCTGTGATAACACAAACACTGCTGCAGGATTTTGCAATAAGACTGCCTGATCATCCTTGTGTTATACAAGACTTGGCAAATTGTTCAGTTTGCCAAGTTCTCAAAATTTAATTCAGATTGAGCCAAGAAGTAAAATGTTAAAGCTCGAGCGTTCTAACACTCTTCAGCTGCAGGTCGATGGGCACTGTAATGTTAAACTCTGATTGTGGCATTCTTGTAAAACTGCCCTCTGAGGGCTCCACACTGAGTGCCAAGCACTGCTGAGTCCTTCAGCCTGTGTCAGCAGCACAGTGACAAACCCATCCCACTGCCCCAGTCCAAGAGAAGCCTCAGCCACAGCAAGAGGAAGTTTGGCCAAGGGCCCCAGCTGGGGTCAGTCAGGCCCCTGAGCTGCAGACCCTGCCATTCTCACCCCTTCAGGTACAAATTGCTGACAGATTATTATCATGCAAATTAAAATAAAGGAAGCAAGCACTGTGTCATCTACTGCTCTAAGAGTGCTACAGAGTCTCAGGCTTCATTCACATGGAGAAGACAAGAATATGATGATTCCAAAAAAGCAAAGAGCAACTCTTAAGAACAAACTCTGTGAGAGCCACCAAGGTCAAGAGTCCTTGCAAAGCAAGAGTCAGGAATGACAGCCTGTCACACAGGTAGCCTGCAATCTGAATGTTCATATGAGACTTTTTGTCTTATATGAACATGTGATTTTGTATTCTGATACATTTCAGTTCCATGTGTCTCTTAAGCACTTTGAAAGTTAAAATCTCTTGAATGCAGAACCTTTCTGTGCTGTCCAAATGCCCCTACACTGTTCAATCATGGTACGTATCCAGAGGGACCCTTCTAAAAGGGATCCCTGCTGCCCCAGCCCTTGGAAAAGAAAGTATTCTACTTGACACGGAATCCTTTTGGGAACTGGGATTCCAGCCTTAAGAAAGGGCAGAGCCAGTGTGAACTGTTTGGGTTTGGCAATACCTGGGGAAAAGTCCAGCTGGTTTCTATGCTGGAATCTGATTTGAAATTTTAGAGGCAAGTTAAAATCCTGCAGTTCAAATCTGAGTGATATTTCAAAGTCCAGGCTACCCTCTCTAGGTCTGCTTTTTAATTAATCAGGTTTTTCATTACATGCTGTGTTCTGCTCCCTGCCGGGGTGACCACAGGACTTCTCTACAGGTAAGAATTCCAGAAGCATCTTCCCTAGAAGGTTCTGGATGCAGCAGTGGGTGGTAACACTTTCACCACAGTATTGCCAGTAACTGCATCAGAAGGTAATTACATAACGGTACAGACTGATTTTCCTTGCTGGGTCTCTTTCAATCCATTTGTTATGTACTGCTCACTCAGTAAATGTTGATTTATAAACACTTAGGGGTCAAGGTTGTTTCCTTGGCTTATTGTGTTGCTTCTCACAAGAGGTGTGAAAAGCAACACAGTTCCACAATAAAGAACATTTTCCTTTTTTCCCCCCTATATCCAGCCTCCCAGTACAACAAGCAATGTCTGACTGGGGCTTGGTGAGATTAGAAACTTCCATGCTGCTTTTTGTGGAATGTTATCGCAGGGATTCAATAAACTACACAAAAGCAAAATGTTGGAGGCCTGTTTGATATTTCACAGAGTTGTTTGATCTGACATGTGTCAAATGATAAATGCAAATGGCTGCAGGATCATTCAAGCCCAAGTGGGTTTTGAAATACTGTGGGAAAATTAGAGGATAAATAAATCTGATCCCAAGAGCTCAAGCTCGTTGTTTGGCATGTGTCAGAATGCAGACAGAGGTAAATATTACTTTTGTCTGCAGGGAGGGCAGGTTAGTGCTGCTAACCAGGGACTGTGCCTCCAGCAGGAGGTCAGGCAGCAACCTACTAAATGAAAAAATGAAGATATGCTAAACATATTGGTAGTTATTTAACGTTTACAAGGAAGTTAGCAGGATTAATAAACCCTCTTTCTACAATGGACTGTGAAAATGGATGTGATTTTTTTTTTTAATGCATGGTTTTCCTCTGCTAAGTGAATGGAAAAATGGAGTCTTTGCTCTTCTACACTGGTGTGTGCAGAGATTCACAGATCAGCTAGAGGAGGGTTTCCTTTCCACAGTTTCTTTCCCTGTGGATCTTACTCTGGAGGCTCCCTGGGTCATGGCTGAAGCCCTCAGGAACACAGATACCTGTGGACAGAAGCATCAAGGTGGAGTTGTCCAGAATGACTTCCAGGGCCAGTTGTCCCAGATAAACCAGCAGGCACAGCCAAGAAGCAGCTTGTACCTCTGGAAAAGCCAATTGCCACATCCTTTTTTACCCAGATTGCTGATTTCCAGGTACAACATAGAGAGGCCTCAGGAGCAAAAGGGGGCAGAGTGTGAGGACAGTAAGATTAGGCTGCACATGCAGTGACAGCAGTGAGTTTGTGCTGTTCAGAAAACAAGAAAATTGAATGTCAGGGCTGGCACCACCAACAAACCCAGCAAAGCACAAACAGCATCTCAGCAGAAACAACACAGCTTGACTGGCAGCTCCGGGGCACAGCGAGCAGTGTGACAGGTCAGGGAAATAAAACCTCTCAGCATTTCAACTGATGCAACTTGACAGGGACCCAGTGAAAACAGCAGCACAACATTGTGCTGCCATTTTGATGGGATTGTTCTGTTGAGCTGAACAGTGATCTTTGTTCTTAAAAACAGCCAGTGAGGAGTTTGTGTGAGCTGTGCTGTAATGAGAAGTCTCCAGGAGCCCTCAGTGCAGGGGTTCTGCACCCAGCATCACCTCATCTGCTGTTGCTGAGAAAGGGAATTTGAGAGAAACCATGTTTGAAATCCAGAAAACAAGTGTTCCTGATGCCATCAGTTACATCATGTGTACAAGGACTGGGGATGTGAAATTTGGCCCAAAGGTATTTTTATGAACCTCGCTCTGACTTGTGCTTTTTACTGGTTTTCATTTGAGTGCAGGGTTTATCTTTGTACCTCTTGTGTTTTTCTATGCACACATAGAGCACTTGGCTGAGCCCACAGCTGTGCTTATTCCTAAATCCCCATCCAGTCTGTACAAACCCAGTCTGGCACCCAGCTTCCAGCTTCTCCTTGAGCTTTGTGTTTGACACCCATCACCTCTGACTGGCTGTGACCCAGTGGGGTGATGGATCAGCATCTGGGGATCCCCACAGCTGCATTGCTGTGCCTGTGCTTAGTCCCAGCAAGGCCAACAGGGCACTGATGGATCCCAGAGTCCTTCAAGGCCTTTCACAAAAAAATCCCATGGAAATTAAGATTTGCTGCACTCAGAATCCTTTGTTTGGTAGAACAGGAAAGGAAGGACTCCTCTGAAGTTGACCCATTTGTGCTTCAGTGAATTTTTCATAAAATAGACAAAATCCTGTTTTAATCTATCCCACTCCACAACCTTCTGAGGGACTCTGTAGGTTTCTCTAAAATACCTCTGTGGTTATTGTTAATTAGAAAAAAATAATATTGCTGAAGGATTGCTTTTCAGTTGAACTTCCTGAACATATGGTTCAAACTGAAGCTGAAAAGGAAAACTTCAGGACAAACTGTATGAATTACTACTAATAATAAAATCAGACATTTTTTATAAGTCTACATTAATCTTCTTTAAAAGCTTTGGGTTAACCACATTTTTTAAATAAAACTTTTACCGGAGAGGAATTTATTAAGAGAGCTCAGTGTTGCCTTAGCTGTGTTCCACGGGGCATCAAGAGAAGTTTTATTACTGATTTCAGTCACAACAGACTTAGATCTACACAGAATGGTTTTG